GAAGTCCATCGGTACCACTGGATCACAAGTTACCAGAAGAGGTATGGAGCGGAAAAGAAGTAAAACTCTCACATCTTAGAGTTTTCGGGTGTGTAGCATATGTGCACATCAGTGATCAAGGTAGAAACAAACTTGATCCAAAATCAAAGAAATGTACTTTCCTTGGTTATGGTGAAGATGAGTTTGGCTACCGCATATGGGATGATGAAAACAAAAAGATGATCCGCAGCAGAGATGTCATCTTTAATGAAAGAGTGATGTACAAGGACCGGCATAATACAGGTGCCAGCAACTCAGAAGCGAGTGGGCCAGTTTATGCTGAGGTGGAAGATATCCCAGACAGTCCTATAATGAGGAGTCCTCAGTCAGAGGAATCAAATGAAGAAAGTGATGTGCAATCAGAACCTCCTACTCCAGCTCCTGTATTGAGAAGGTCCTCTCGGCCCCATGTGCCTAACAGGAGATACATGGACTACATGCTGCTGACTGATGGAGGGGAGCCTGAAAGTTACATGGAAGCTTGTCAAACCACGGATGCTAGCAAGTGGGAGCTTGCCATGAAGGACGAGATGAAGTCCTTGATCTCAAATCAGACATGGGAACTAGTCAAGTTACCTATGGGAAAGAAAGCACTTCACAACAAATGGGTGTATCGGGTGAAGGAAGACCATGATGGTTCCAGGAGATACAAAGCCCGACTGGTTGTCAAAGGATTTCAGCAGAAAGAAGGAGTTGACTATACTGAAATCTTTGCTCCAGTTGTAAAGCTCAATACTATCAGGACGGTGTTAAGTATTGTGGCTAGTGAAGAGCTCTACCTAGAGCAATTAGACGTGAAGACTGCATTTCTTCACGGAGACCTAGATGAGGAGATCTATATGCACCAGCCTGAAGGATTTTCAGATGGAAAGAAGGATATGGTGTGCAAATTGAAGAAGAGCTTGTACGGCCTGAAACAAGCTCCAAGACAGTGGTATAGGAAGTTCGAAAGCTTCATGCACAAGGAAGGTTTCCAGAAGTGCAATGCCGATCACTGTTGCTTCTTTAAGAAGTATGAGTCCAGCTATATCATCTTGCTACTTTATGTCGATGACATGTTAGTAGCAGGATCAGATATGAAAGACATCAGAAAATTAAAGATGCAGTTGTCAAAAGAATTTGACATGAAGGACTTAGGCCCAGCAAAGAAGATTCTTGGAATGCAAATCACGAGAGATAAGCAAAAGGGAGTTTTGCAGTTATCTCAGGCAGAGTACATCAACCGTGTTTTGCAGAGATTTAACATGGACAAGGCTAAGCCAGTCAGTACACCTTTGGCCAGCCATTTTCGTCTATCCAAGGATCAGTCTCCTCAAACAAAAGAAGAAGAAGAGTTCATGGCTAAGATTCCTTATGCTTCAGCCATTGGAAGTTTGATGTACGCGATGGTCTGTACGAGGCCAGACATTGGCCATGCAGTGGGAGTTGTGAGCAGGTTTATGTCAAAACCAGGAAAAGCTCATTGGGAAGCAGTCAAATGGATTTTGAGATATCTACGGGGCACAACAGAAAAATGTCTGTACTTTAGAAAAGGAGATCTAAAGTTACAGGGCTACGTAGATGCAGACTTTGGAGGTGAAGTTGATCACCGAAGAAGCACCACCGGTTACATTTTCACTGTCGGAACTACAGCTGTTAGTTGGATGTCGCGGATACAAAAGATTGTTGCTCTATCCACTACAGAGGCTGAGTATGTAGCAATGACAGAAGCTAGTAAAGAATTGATATGGCTTCAAGGATTGTTAGCAGAGTTGGGTTTCACTCAGAAAGAGAGTGTCTTGCACAGTGACAGTCAGAGTGCAATACATCTGGCAAAGAACTCAGTGTTTCACTCCAGAACTAAGCACATTGACATACGATATCATTTCATCAGATCTCTTCTCGAGGATGAAGTGTTGACTTTGAACAAGATTGTAGGAAGCAAGAACCCTGCAGATATGCTAACGAAGGTGGTGACCATTGACAAACTGAAGTTGTGCTCAACTTCAGTTGGCTTGCTAGAATAACAGACCGGAGAAGACTACTGCAGTAATTGAGGTGTGAGGACAGATTGAAATCAGTCCTCAAGTGGGAGATTGTTGAGTCATAAATGGCTGCAAGCCACTTTCTTGGACAAGCACACAATGAAAGAAAAAAAAGGCATCAAACATGTGTTGGAAAATTTGCAGCCGGTGGGTTGCTGAAATATGTGGAAAAATTGAGTACACCTTTGTGGAAAAATTGTGCAATTCCCCCTCTATAAATTGAGGGGAATTCTCATGAGCAAAGCATCACAACCAAAAAGAAAAACACCAACACAAGAGAGAAAGAGAGAAAAAGAGTGAACAAGAAGCAGAAAATTTTAGCTTCTGAGTGTATTTGTGTTGTGAGTTGTGAGTGAGTTCGAGAGTGTTTTGTAAACACGAGTGTATTTTTTTCTTCCTAATAAAATATCTGCAGTAGTCCGGAGACGTAGGCATTATTGGCCGAACTCCGTTATCAATTTGGTGTGTCCAATTTTTATTTTTTATTTCACTTTTATAGATCCGACTTCATGGAAATTTCAGCGTATTTTTCCCAACAAGAATACCCACACCCATAGGCACAAATTTCCCCTATTTCGGGTTATATACAAATTGCATTGTGGTGTGTGGAAATTTTTTTTAGGAATGCAATGAATCGAGCCAAATGTCAATTATAACATGATTAACATCTTTATGCACTGTAATAGACATTCGTGTAGATATGTATGTATTAATATAACAATAAAAAACTTTATCAATGATGAACTTAATTTTAATTGTTTGTTAATACATATTTTGAGATTTGAGGTTAGAAGTAAGCTAAATAAAATGCAAAATAATATTCCATTTATGAAAATTGTCCTAGAAGGCTAGAAGATGTAAAGTCCATTGGTCAATGGATTGTGTATTTGTGTTTGGTAAACTATATTAATTAAAAAGTGAATTTATCTAATAAAATATTACATGCCCAATCAAGTAGTCCACGAGTCCATATGAAACAGCAGACACGTATATGTGTAGCACAGAACCCGAGAAAAATGGAAGATTGAAGTTAGATTTCTATATTTATAAAGTAAGATATAACTTTGTACCAGAAGAAGAAGGA